TGGCGTTATATCTAACCGCTACATCGTCTGACATGCAAGGACGTTCCCTGGACCTGGGGAAAGGAAGAACAATCCGCGCTAGAAAAGCTACAAGCTGCACTGTCCGAAAAGACCATGCTAAGCTACGTTGACCCAGAGAAACCCACTACGTTGTTTGTGGACGGTAGCCCAGTAGGCCTAGGTTCAGTCTTAACCCAGAAGGATCAGAAAACCGATGAGACAAATCCGCTGCATTACGCCAGTCATCCGTTATCGGAGACAGAATCGCGTTATCCGCAGATAGATCGAGAAGCACTATCGATATACTGGTCGATCACAAGGTTTCACCTATATTTCTATGGAAAGGAGTTTAAGATCGTCACTGACCATCAACCCTTGGTCTCACTGTTCAACAACCCGGTGTCAAAACCGTTAGCCAGGATCGAACGTTGGTTGATGGACCTACAGCACTATCGCTTTACTGTAGAATACCGACCAGGACCGAACAATCCAGCAGACTATGCATCGCGTCATCCCATCTCTGCCGCAAGTGTATTGGACATTGATGACTAGCAAACTGCTGACAAGTATGTTGCCTATGCCGCGCAGAACGCTGTCCCCAAGGCAATGACTTTGTCTGAGATCGAGCTAGCAACCATGCAAGACCCGCTGCTTCAGGCCACAATGGTAGCCATGAAGTCTGGTAATTGGCACAAATCTCTGCCAAATGTGTCACTATCTGAACTCTCAAGACTTGAAAACGTTAAAGGTGAGCTAACGTGTACCGATACCCTTGTCTTGAAATCGAACCGCATTGTAGTACCGACTAGCCTTCAGGAAATAACTGTGAACATCACACATGAAGGACACCTCGGTATTGCTAAAACCAAGGGCCTATTGCGAGAGAAAGTGTGGTTCCCGCTTATGGACAGACTGGTTGAGCAGAAAGTCAGATCTTGTTTACCATGCCAAATCGCGACACCCATGGTAACACGTGAACCGCTGCAAATGTCACCGCTACCAGAAGGCCCATTCGAGAAGATAAGTGTAGACTTTGCCTATGCTGAAGGAGAACATGTACTTCTTCTCGTTGATGAATACTCACAATTCCTATTTATCGAGCCAATCCGCTCCACTGCTACTCAGTATGTGATTCCGAAGCTCGACCGAATTTTCTCCACATTCGGTACACCAGAAACAGTCAAATCCGATAATGGTCCACCGTTTAATGGCCACGAGTTTGCGAAATTCTCTGAGACCGTCGGATTTGAGCACCGCAAAATCACACCGCTTTGGCCTCGCGCCAACGGTGAAGTGAAAAGAATGGTAGGATCGTTCAAGAAACATGTCAGGGTGTCAAAAGCTCGTGGAACCAATTGGAAGAAAGACCTACAATCGTGGTTAAGAGACTATAGAACCTCTCGTCATGACACAACCGGAGTTGCACCGGCAACCCTGTTCTTCAAGCGAGCAGTCCGCAACAAACTCCCACAAGTACCTGAAACGGACCTAGTCGCAGACATAGTGCGCCAGCGCGACTCCCAGAAAAAGGGGAAAATGAAAGTGTATGCGGACAATAAACGCTATGTCAAACCCAGCGATCTGAAAGTTGGTGACCCAGTCTTGGTCAAGCGCCCGTTCAACATGACCAAAGGAAACACCCCATACGAGACCACTCCACTGACAATTGTGTCCAAGAATGGTAGCATGATAACTGCCAACGGTGAAGGACGATGCATGACCAGAAACAGTTCCTTCTTCAAGAGACTTTCACTCCTGAATTGTCAGATTTACCAGAATCAGATACGCATGATTCAACCATTGGAAATGAGGGTAACTCAGTGCCAATGATGCCCGTGCACCCAGAGGTGAGTTATACCTGAATTTTGAAAACTCAGATGTCTGATAACTCCCATTCACCCACAGTCAATTTGGACAGTACTGTGAAGCCCAGATCTGCAGATGTCAGATCAGACAATACTCCAGTGCACACAGCATCCCCGAAGGTTTTCTTAGATCAGCAAGAAACTCGCAGGTCAACCAGAGTCCGAAAACCTGTCGTGAAAATCAACCTGTGAAATTGACAGCAAGCTAAGACTTTGTTCACAACTGTGTGTGGTGTGTTCAGAAGACTTTAGAGATTAACTATGGAGACTGAACAATATGTATTTGTGTTACAGTTTAGTGTGTTTAACAAGGTTCATCTTATCATTGAGTAATCCGATCAAGTCTGGTTAAATGCGTTACAATTTGAGTGACAGAGTAATCGAGTATTCGGTAAGTGAGTAATTACCTCGATTAGCATTGATTAGTAAAGTTGGTTAGTTTTGACAAATCGTTTAATCGTCAAAGCCAGATTTGTTTGTTTCCAGTTGTCACACTGTTTGAACCTCAAGAGTTAAAGATTTTATAATTGACCTGTTTGGTGTAGTAGTACATGTATCTTAAGTACCCCATGGAACTATCTACAAGGAAGGGGATGTCACCTTTAGTGATGTGCCTGTTGTTTGTGTGCTCTGCCACCAGGGGTCAGTACAGTACGACCACGAGAATATACGCTACCCCATGTAGTCACGTTAATTGCATATCCATGTCTTCCTGCTTATGTTGTACCCAGCACAGTAAATAGAGAACGTTACAGCGACTAGGGTCAAAACAGCGCACTCATTGTTCTTAAAAGCAGATCTATAGGTATGACTCCAAGGGCATGAGTTATATGTGACACAAAACTGTTTCAGCTGACAGGTGACCGGAGTCATGTTATGACATGTTGCAACGCATGGCTCAAGAAATTCTATGCTTGCGCAGATGACAAAGGTCTGTTTGTTGCAGCCAACACAGACATCAACAAATCTCAGAGGCAAGCTTTGCCATTGTACACAGCTGATGTGAGCGATTTTTTAAACTTGCCCAGCTACTGGGTCAAACATACACAATGCAATAAAACTGAAGACTGGCTTAATGGGAAAAAAAAATAATGAGAAACAAATGCGACCTACCAGAGCATGTTTTTAGTATAATGGTACACAAGGACGAGGCAGTTGCACAATATATTAAGAAACAGAGAAACACATCGGCAGACTGTGACTAAGGTATATACTGAGACAACCAGGCAAGGGGCCAAGTGGTGCATGGAACGCTGTTGACGTGATCAGTTAGGATTCAAACTGTTAGCGAATGTGGACAACCTGATTTACGAGAAACATTAGTAATCCTAGGAATAATTGAGCCCATTCACACATATTCAGGCAATTAAAGGGATCGTTTACTCTAGGTTCTAGGGTTATTTTTAGTTAATTTAGGTTAAAATTACGCTACATAAAAAGTTTCATGGTTCAATCACCATTAAAAATATTATTAAAAAATGTTTTAAAATTAACGACTACAGTTTGATTACAACGATGGTGGCGCTACTCAAAGCGCAGGATCTGATAAGTTGCGCAAAACCACTTTCCAGCCAAGGGCTACAGACCGAGGGTGTTTCTTATTTATTCATTTAAAAGCAAAAGGATTGCAATATCTTATAAACGACATATAGTTTCAGTTATAATATGGATAAATTTGCCCTAAAATGAATATCGTTCGGTTAAATAGCATTTAGGTATAAATATAATTGCACTTTTGTGATTAGCCCTCAGTCTGGAACGTGCAAAATAAATTGTCAAATACGCAACTTATTCGGGGTGGCAGCACGGTCGCGGGTGTCATGGCGCCGTTGAAATTTCGTAGCGTTTTTGTGTAATTAATTATAACAATTAAATTACGTATCTGGTAACAAATACGTGTGGGTATAGACGATTTGTTATACAGTAAGTACAGTTGTATGCAGTAAAATCCTAGAGGCTACTGTCCCTTTAAATTAGGTATCTGGTAACAAATACGTGTGGGTATAGACGATTTGTTATACAGTAAGTACAGTTGTATGCAGTAAAATCCTAGAGGCTACTGTCTCTTTAAGCAACTGATAGTGCGGCAGATTCATGATATGATACCGAGTATTTAAGTATACCTAGCAAATCTGCGGCATGCATTCTATGGGTGAGAGTAGACAGGAAAATATGGTCATGATGTATCATGCCTTGCTAAAGGTAAAACCTGAATGAAACTTAGTGGTCAGAATAATTTTCCCTGAATGTGTCTCTCATCCCAACATGCAAGTACAGCCAAGAATGGAGGTGAGCCTGACAGAGTGAGACCAGAGAAAATTGTTACTGGAAAGACGGGCAAAATGATATTTAACAACTTAGCAAGTAAGGCAGAAGCTGTAGAAATATTACTACCTATGCTTCCAGAGTGACACGCAGATGGAAGAGTGGCAATTAAGGTACGGGGTATTGTTAGAGTTACGAAAGTTGATATAGTGGTTGTCTGGGAGGTGGCAGTAACATCACAGGCAGAAAACTGTGCAATAAGGTGAACATTAAAAAGAAAAGTGAACTTTCAGAAAATGGTTCAAGAAACTGTTTCCATATTCGTTGATGGTTCTACTACAGGCAGCTTGATGCTATGATGTGATGTGGCAAGGAACCAGATGAAGCGAGCTGTGTTGGCAGGCCAGAGAAGGCAAATGGGAGCTATTGCATTGCAGCAAAACAACAATGGCTCATGGGGTATTAAACAGAGGAGTACACGTTTTAGAAACGGTTCAATCAGTGTAAACGAATGTGAGTGCGGACGTTCAAAACATCCAGTGAAATACATTAAACATGGGCTAGAATCAGCCTGGGTAGCAGATGCGGCTCTGTTGCATTTAATGATCCTGAAATGGCCTAGAATTGTGAAACATATTCAAACAGGTTTAATGTTGACACATGAATTGTTGTAAAAAAGTCTGTGAAATAGATGTCTTTGAAATGGCATAAGTTCACGTGGAAAAATATCACATTCTCATCACCAAATCTAATTGTAAATGTCACAAAAGCCACGGCACCACACAGTATGGCTAGACAAGTAAAACATAGTAAATATCAATCAAGAACGTTATGGCAAACTGTCTGATATATTGTAGAGCATATATATACCTCCTTGAGCTTGAGATCAGATGTGACGAATGACTCTTCAAACAGCTGTTGTACTGTAGGTAGAACCATCTTATCATCTCGTTCCATAAACACCTGATATAGGTATGCATCCTGGCCAGAACTAAAATCAATGTTGCTTGATGAATAGGGACACGAAAACATGACGAGAAAGTTCAGAGTTCAATAAATACAAATATTTGTTTTACAATAAATAGCAAGTTAGATTCTCTAAATGAATGCAATCGACATCCGACCTTAGTATACACAATACAGTAATTTAAATAGTTCTATTAACAGAGAGGTTTCTACAGTCATCAAAGGGATGCTATACCCTACAATTTTATAGTATATTTGTGACCGGCTATATATAGCCAAATGATTTTTTTCAATGAGCAATTTTCCAATTTCCAGATAACCATATGGTGATGTTCTGCTATCTTCTATCTTCATATTGGTCCAAAAATTTTGAGAAGCGGATAAAAAATAAAAGGTATAAATATTTGAAGTTATTTAATTATGAAATTATATTTAAGAAATTAGAGAAAATTGAGTCTAAAGTGTGTCGCGTTATAGAAACGTGCAAGATTGTGAGTAACTTAGGAGCTGTTTATTCACATGTTTGTGTGGCTTGCTTACATGATGGAAAAAGAGCGACTGCCTCACGTGCAGCGCTTATATACGGCAGTCTGGTAGAAGGAGCCACCGTCGCTAGCTATATGTTAATACTTGAACACGCGTTAACCAATGGTGTCATCACTAACACAACAAAGTGTGACCAACTTCAAATATATATATTGAAATATTCTATACAAAATAGCAAAATTATATATTTTAAAGATATTATATGTATATTTCACCCAGATATTCCGATAGAAAACATTCCAACCTATCTATTTCAGTTAAAATAAAAAATAAAAATTTCATGCCTATATAGGTAAAACCACACATAGCGTAAAATCTATATGTGCGACTTACGACTCATTTGGCTATAACGGGTCACATTTGATAGTAAGTGCATAAATTATAGTATATACCTACAAATTTGTGTAATCACGCCTTCACATTTGCCATAAACGGTTCAAAATCTTTAATTTTGACCGATTTAAGCCAATTTAATTTGTACGTCACAGACCGAGGGCTAATCACAAAAGTTAAATTATATTCATACCTAACTGCTATTTAACAATTTTCACGAAAAACTTTTTGAGCCATTTGCCCTTCGTGCAAGTATTCTGTAAAATGTACATGCCAGAATGATATTATAGTTGCACATGTATTTTGTAGGAATATTTTTTGGAATATCAAGTAAAGAAGTGTACACCAGACAATTTCTAGATGTCATTCGTTTCTGGCGTTAAAATTTCGTGACTTTAAATTAAAAACCTTTATATAATGGCCCGTTTCATTATAAATTATGCATTTTTTAGACGTTACTAACGGATTTAATAAGATTAATGCTCAGACAATAAATTCTGCTCAAAGTGCTATTCTAGTTTATTCGCAAGAGGGTGTGCAATGTGCTACAATGCATATGTTTTAGTAGACCTCAGGGTTATACACTACAGTTTTTAAATCAGGAGCCCGTCGGGCAAATGGCCTTGCAATGTTTACATTACAGCCCACCGAGATTTCTACACGTATCGGGCGTCGGATGCCCGGCTCAATTCGAAGACTGATTTAACCGAACGTTCGTTTTAGGACAATTTCGAATATATTATAACTGAAACTACGAGTGGTTTATAGGATATTGTAATTCTTCCCCCCGTAAATGACTAAATAAGAAACACAGCTGGTCTGTAGCCTGCACCCGAAAAGTTGGGCTGTGAACTATCAGTGGATGAACTTGTGTGGCACCACCGTAGTTGTAAACAATGATATAGCCTTTTAAAACAATTATAAAATATTTCTAATGATTAATGGAGAATGGCATTGTTTATGTAGCGTAATTAAAACCTATTTTACTTGAAAATATGCAATGCACCTTAAGTCATTGTCTTTTTAAACACAAACAAGAGCCGCAGAGCGTCTGGGCTCATCTGAGGTCTGTTGCTACGGTTATAAACGTAACATTTAAGTCGTGCGTAGTGACGCCTTTGTTAGGCGCAGATATGCAGATACGCAGTTGCGTATACATCATTTCAGCAACCTTCTGCATTCTGCATACCTCCCAAATCCCATTAGTTGATACAAATCGCGTCCCTGAAACTCCTGTTTTATGGTGCATTGTGACCCTAAGCCTAACCCTAACCCTATTTTTTTTTAATTGTTGTTATTAAATTGTTGTAAACATTATTTGTTGTTATGAAATTGTTGTAAATAAATCATGTAAATATTTTCCTTAATTGGAAAGAAATAGTTAAATGGATAAAGATAGAAAAATACAGAAAACAGATAAATAATAAAAAATCTGATGGGATTCGATCCAAGAACCTTTGAGCCGTAATCCTGTGCTGTAGCCGTTTGGCTATCGAGGCATATTGGGTTTCCAGAATATGGATGTGCCATTAATATGAGAACACTGTTACATCATTGAAGCAGTTCAGGAATCCATGTTTAACCCACCTCTTGAGGGTTAAAAAGTTATCAGACACTTACTCTTCGCACGTCAGTGGAAAGCACATTTCATGGTCCTTTCAATAAAGTGATAAAAATGGTAGGTCAGCGCTGAAACAAAAAAGTTTTCCACTCTGTCCATTAGGCCATGTCCTCAGAAAATGTATGATATCTGACCTTTCCCCCACTGCCCTTTGACCTGTGACCTCCAATTTCGCACTGGTGATGGGTTTCCTGCTCATCACACTATACACCGAATATTAAGAGCATAGGTCGAGCCGTTAAGATTTGTGCCGCAATTCCGTATTTCCTCCTATACCTTAAGTTAAGGAGGAAATATTCCCCCTCCGTTTACACATATTGACCTTAGACCCTTGACCCCCAAATTTGTCATCCCGAGTCCTTTTCACGATCCCCCTGACGTCCCGAATATCGTGACCGTGCTTCAAGCGGTTAAGATTTGTGCCCAACTGTTGACGCACGGACGGACGGCCGGAGGCACAGACGGACGGACGGACGGACGGACGGACGGACGGACAATCATGCGATTCTACAAGCTGCATCTGACTACGTCAGATGAGCTAAACATTTATGGGCAACATGCCTGAGTTTCAAAAAAGGGTCAGCTTTGAAGATCTGATTAAGCGAGTTCAGGAATTCCTCTGGGTCTTTCTCCTCTCCCGTTAGTCCTGAGACTGACGTCAGTTGGTCAAGAAACTTTCTCAGTTTCATGACCCTGTCTGCTCGTACATACATGTTTCTGCAACAGGTTTACTTGGTAAACATATCATTCAGGACAAACAAACAAACAGACTATGGAATGTCTCGACAAGTATAACCATGTGCAGTAACGTAACACTCCAAATATAATCTTGCAATGACTAAAACCAAGTAGACTGTAATCACATCCATACTCTGAAGGGACACAACTAGTTACTAATAATAAGCACAATTTTTCATGAAAATTGTACCTCACTTTAGTGTAACATAATATAGATGTAAATAAGACTTATTTGGCAACAGATGGCATGTTTAGACTGGACACATTAGAGGTACTCTGGAGTTCTAGCATGGGTTGAGTTGATGATTAGAAATTTAGAATTAATCTAAAATGATCATGTGGATGACTACAAACAAAATTTATCATGATAACATGGTATGGTCCCACTGGGACCGATCACAAAAATAAAAGCAGAAATATTTCTTCACCCTCTTTGGTAATTATTTTCGCTACCTTGTGCCCCTGACTCTCACCGTGTCTAACGGCAGAGAATTTCTTGGTATTCACAGTCCCAGTGATGAACGGGTCATTAGAAACAGACCCCCTGTTGTTGCGGGAGTACTTAATTAGGGACGTATGTCCAACAGGCGATGCAGTAAATCTGCAGAGTGCCTTTGCCGTCACGGGAGGTTTGGAGCCAGTCAATCCCCCAAGATTTCACGGTTGCTTTCTTTGAAACTGGCTTCTTTTTTTATTTGGAGGGCGGCTGCGTTGGACTGACAGCGTCCTTGATGTTATATGGTGCATTTGAGCTGCCAGCTAGATTACAAAACGATCCATGTTGTAACGTTGTTGTGGTTAGCTAGCTTGCGTGCTCTGCGTGTAGTGTACGCATACGGTATGTGTGCATGTATTTCTGTAGCTACAGCGTGTGTGTACGTGACTACGTGTACATGTGCATGAGCCGCGATAGCTAGAACAATACGCGAACAATAGTTACAATACAATGCGCTTGACCACTGCAATATGGTGTGATGCGATGTATGCATACTATACGGTAGTTTGTGTTTCGTATGCAAGAGAACTTTACGCGTAAAAATACAATTCGAGCCCGGGGGGGGGGCACTCCATATATATTGCATGGTAGGTATGTGCCGCGGGAGAGACCCCAATTTTCCACGCTAAACTTCCGTTCCAGTGCATCGCATTTTTAAGAATATGTCGTTAGATTATAGATCTTATATTTTTGCCGTTCCGGAGACCCAGTTTTTAACATTTACCATTTGATTCTCATGCGCATACATCGAGTGCAGCAGTCCTGTCATCGTCATGTCAGTGTCGGCAGCCGGAACGCAGTGCCTGTGCCACTCGGGGGTGCTACTGGCCATGGTGGTGGCCGTTGTTATCGTATCTGGAGCCAGTGCCAGAGCATCCCACATTCAACAAACATTAGTTCCAGAGACTCCCATTTTCAGGTCTGTTAGTTCCAGAGCCCCCCATTTTTGACTTCGCAGTGCCACATAGCTACCATAATGTGGGGTGAGTGCCCCCTGGAAATTCGAGTCTTCTGCATATAAAGCGAATGCGTGTCATTTCTGTTCTAGTTTCTGTTTGTGTTCGTGAAACGGTTAGCATTCGTCATTGGTCTAGTGCATTGTAGCGCGCAGTGGAATAAATCTATATCATAACGCACGCAGCTCTGCGTACGTACGTATCGGTGTTCGAAATATAGTTAGTGGCTCAGAATCAATAGGGTTCTTTCGCCCCATAAGATGCAACTGTGGACCAAGTTTAATGTTTCTACCTCTTACGGTTGCAAAGATATCGAGCGGACAGCCACACAGACATACACACCGCCAAATACACGAAACCGAAACCGACACGGCCACGAAAACAATATCCTCCACGGCACTGCGTGCGGAGGATAATTAACTACTTGTACTTCGTCGAGTAGACGTGTTCGTATGGTTAGCCTGTGTTGTCACTAGCGTGTATTGTGTGTGCGTGTTGACAGTATTGTGAGTACGCGGCGTTGTGTTTTACGCTTGGAGCTTTATTTCGAAATTAGTTCAATAGATTGTAGTTTATTGATGGAAGAACAGTGATTTTAGTCAGCGAGGCGGTGTTTTTGGATAATTTCCGTGTGGCGGCTGAGAATTTGACCGAGGCGGCAGCCTCGCTCGTGTCAATGCAGGGGAAACACTGCGTCCAGGGGCGTATTCAGACCATATTTGCCGTATTGGGAAATACGGTCTAAATTTCAAAGTGCCCTTCGAACAATTAAGATGGAACAAACTTACAGAAAACAATTTGATGGAATTTGGCTATATTCTTTATTTGTTTTCTTTTTCTTGTGATTCATTGACAGGACTTGAAGGAAAATCAAAATTTTACATGGTAACAAAACTAGCTTTGATATCTGAAAAAGAAGGGAAGTGCTTGAATCATCTTACTATAATTTGGCGAATGTTGTATGTATGTATGTATGTATGTATGTATGTATGTATGTATGTATGTATGTATGTATGTATGTATGTATGTATGTATG